GAGGGATGTGGAAAACCCCTCCAGTATCTTTACCAAGAAAACCCCAAATGGGGTCATGAAGTGTTAGACAAGACTGAAAAATGACTAAATAGCAACAGTCTTCCAGGGTTGTTGTGAGAATCAAACGAGATCGTGCTATGTAAATGCTAGTAATATAATTAATGAAGAGACGAGCAGCATTCAGAAATAAGGAAATGGCTGTCTACTGTCCAGACTTCCAGAGCATTATATCCAGTACCAAGCCCCACAGCTCAGGAAGGACAGTCATGTAGCACCTGGGAGCGTCTTCAGCAACTCACAGGGCAGGTTCTCCAGAGACAGGCTACCCCAGGATCAAAGCGTCCTTGGGTATGGATGCTCCAAACATGGGCGTACTCGGCCGGAGGACCTAATTAGTTCAAAACAAAGGGGAAAGGGGAAAAAAAAACATTCATTAAGTATCACCTACATACCAAGATGTTTACAAATATTAACTTATTTAATCCTCAGAACAACCCAAGGGGGTAGGTGCTATTATTATCCCCAGTTTTGCAGATGAGGAAAGTGAGGCAGGCAGGAGCTAAAACGACTTCGGAAACATAGCTATTAAGTGTTTGAGGTAGGATTTGAACTCAGTTTTTCCTGACTCCAGGACTGGTGCTCTATCCACTACACCACCTAGCTGCCTATAAAACCATATAATGTCACTAGCTATGTGACACTGGGCAACCCCAATTGCCTCACCAAAAACAAAACAAAGCAAAACAAAACAAAATAAAACAAAACAAAAACATATAATGAATTGGCTTAATGAGAAAAGTTTCAACAAATTATAATTTGTGAAATAGCTATTTTCCCCCAAAATCTAGGACATGCTCTCTAATAAATACATACAACAGACAATGTCAGTGGAAAGAGTGGAAAGATATAGGGAATACAGGCGGAGAAGCAGGCATGTAGGAAATGCACGTGTCCAGGGTGCGTGCATTGGGAGGGCAACTGATTCCTCGGATACTTCAGTGAGGCCTACTGATGAGTTTTCTAGACACATCTAGAGATGTCACTGCGCCCACTGGGTCTGCTCCCCTCTGGTCTGGGAGTCCCTGCCTGAAGCTACTTTGCTGGAGGCGCAGTCTCCCTCAAAGTCCACTCTGTGAGAGTTGTAGTTTCCACTGAATGATGATACCCTCCTGGACACCTAGTCTCCACCTGATGATTCTCTATAGATTGCTCCACTCCCTCCAGCTTCTGGCTTAGCTGAAATCCTTGTGTTTTCTTCAAGAGCAGGCATTGCCATTCTCTTTTAGGAAAAAGCCTCCCTTCAAGTCCCTCAAAGTCTTCACTGCTGAAGCTTCACATCTCCCAGCTGGACATCCTCAGCTCCAGATGCCAGCTGTTGTTTCAGTCACATCTGACTCTTTGTGACCCCATTTGGATTTTCTTGACAAAGATACTGGAGTGGTTTGCCATTTCCTTCTCCAGTTCATTTTACATATGAGGACACTGAGGCAAACAGGGTTAAGTGACTTGCCCAAGGTCACACAGCTGGTAAGGGTCTAGAGCCTGATTTGTACTCACAAAGATGAGTCTTCCCGATTCCAAGCCCAATGCTCTACCCACTGTATCACCTAGCTGCCCCAAGAGCTAAGATCTTTAGAATGAAGAGCAGAGGCTTCCCAACTTGTTAGTGGCTTGAGGCTCAGTCTTTTGGGGGGGGATCTTATTCCTGTTCCAGGGGCCCTTCGTCAGAGATCTCACCCCAAATTAGGGCGAGAATTTCATATACATCCCAATTCTTCTGAAGTCTAGATAATCAACAAGGTAATGGTTATTTTTCCCAAAGACTACCCAATAGCTCTAGGGTTCTGGGTTCCCCGGTTCCTAAACCCCTGGCCTCTTCGGTTCTCCCACCCAGATGAGTGGATATCGACTAGGCATGGAGGTCACCTCAACGTAGGGGTCGAGGTGATGGCCTCTTCTATCAGACGAATCACACACATTCCTAGTCTGTTCATATGAAGTTAGACGCCATCCTCAGCTTAATGGCATGCCCTTGCATAGATGCCAGGAGAACACCCTGAGGGAACTAGATGGTGAAGGGCCTTGGAGTCATGCTTTATGAGAATCAGTTCAAGGAAATAGGGCAGGTTAGCCTGAAGAAGAGATTTACGGAAGTCATGATAGGTGTCTTCAAGTATTTGAATGGCTGCCACAGAGACGAAGCATCAGCCGTGTTTTTCTTGGCCTTACATGACAGAATTAGGAACAACAAGAAGCTATTACAAAATGGTGAATTTGGGCCACCTACTAAGGTCGTATGTTCATCTTCCCTGGAGGTCTTCAAGCAAAGGCTGGATAACCACTTACTGGGTATGTTCTAGACTAGCTTCCTGTTCAGATACAGTTCGGAGTAAATAGGCACGGAGATTCCTCCCAGCTCTGAGATTCTTTAACTCCAGGACATGCCCCATTTCACGAATTGGCTTAGTGAGAAAAGTTGCAACAAAGCATAACTTGCAACACAGCCGTTTCCCCCCCAAAAGCCAAGGTACACTCTCCAACAAATACATACAGCAGGCAACATCAACAGAAAGCGCGGACAGATACAGGGAACACGCATTGGTAAATGGTGGTGGCAGGATTCAAACCCAGGCTGCTCCTGAGACCAAGCCCAGGGCTTCCTTACCCCTTGATTCGTACAAGGTCACACAGGTAGAGAAGGGAATGAAACTAGAATCCGAGCTTCTGGCTCCTAATCTAATTTGCACTAAGGTGCAGTTGGGTGACATTATGCTGGACCCAGTGATATGAGGGCACTCAGGTTCAGAAAATGGTTGCCAAGGGGTCTTAACCCTCTCGCTGTTCACAAACTTACTATGGTTATAAAGTTTTGTACGCTACTGTCTCTGTGGGGAGAATTCCTAGCTTCCTAGAGCAGTTAGGTGGTATGGTGGTTAGAGCGCAGGTCAGGAAGACCTGAATTCAAATCCTACCTCAAATTAGCTATATGATCCCCTGGGCAAGTCACTTAACTTTCCTATGCCTCAGTTTCCTCATCCATAAAATGGGAATAAAAATAGTACATGAGTCCCAAGGTTGTTGTGAGAATCAAATGAGAGAATGTATGCACAGTGTTTTTGCAAGCCTTAAAACTCTAAATAAATGCTATCATCAGTGTTGTTCCTCCTACCTGTCCCTGTGGTGTCTTGGCTGCTTCCAGCTTCAGTCTTTTGGGTTTTGGTTTGTTCATTTTGTTTTTTGGAGGCACTTGGGATTAAGTGACTTGCCCAGGGTCACACAGCTAGTATCTGAGCCTGGATTTGAACTCAGGTCCTCCTGACTCCGGAGGCAGTGTTCTATCTACTGTGCCACCAAGCTGCCCTTTCTAGATTCAGTCAACCCACACTCATTTCATCTTGGGATGCAATTCTTATTTATTTACTTGGTTCTCAGAGTCGAATGAGTGAATGAATGAATGAATGAGGACTTATGTGCCAGGCCCTTGAGCTCTCCTCACATAGGAAACCCTCCCACTCTTCTCTCTCTGCTTTCTGTGATCCTCTGCCTTCTGTTTCTTTCTGTAACCACCCATCTACCCACCATGGGATAGCACCCAAGACTGAGTCCGCTCCTGCCTTCTATCTCCCTCCCATCCGCTCTTTCTCAGTCAGTTAACAAGTGTTTCTTGAAGGTCAGTGAGGCGCCAGGCACTATGCTAGGTACTGAGGATAATAAGACAGATAGGAAACAGCCCTCGACCTCTGGGTGCTTGCATTGTATTGGAGGAGGAAACAAACGCCTGCAAAATAAATACTAGATATTTATCTGGTATTGATTTCTGGGGTGGGGAGGACTGCAGCTAAGGAGATCAGGAAAGGCTTCCCATGAGCTGTATTTCAATCACAGTTCTGCTTCGGGGCCACCAGCCCAGGCTTCCTCAGTCACATGAAGAGTGATAAGTCTCCTGATTGTTTTCCTGGGTCTCCAAGGCTGATAGCTGGGTGGGGCTGCCTGGATGCAGATGTTAAGTCTGTTTGTGTTGTGGAGCCCTAGAGACTACTTCCACCCAAGCTGCTGTCTCAGAAGCAGGACTAGCTGGGGTTCACGTCAATAACAGGTTTCATGCCTCTAGTGAAGTGGAGTGGAAGCCTGGAGGTGACCCTGCCCCCCTGCCCCTTGAAGAAAGGCCACAAATAGGACACTAGATCTGGCCCAACCTCAAGTCCAGGAGAGCCTCTGCTTGAGGATCTGATCTAAATATAAAATAGCGGCCGTGGTGGGGGGTCCCACCCTTGGAGAAGCAGGTTCCAAATAAAAGTCAGGGGAAGAAAGATGTGGATGTCTCTCTCCAACCCCTTTCCAATGTTCAAACCCATATGAGTTTGGGGTGATTTAGATCATTCCTTAGGATATGGACCTCATCTGATACCCATGCAGATCAACTCCAATGTAACATGCATAGAATGGGTTATTTCACTGAAAATATTCTTGAAATGTGACACTGTCATCGCAGACTAATGAAGCAATTCTCCACGTGCTCTCTCCCGCTTCCCTGTCCCCCCATTCTCTGACTCCTTCTCTCTCTCCCATTCCCTCTTTCTTTTTCATTCCCTACCCCATCCCTCTTTCCTCATTCGGTGCTTTTCCCTTCACTGACCCCACTCCCTTCCCTTTTTCTCTCTCCCCCATTCCCTGTCCAATGCCTCTCTCCCCCTCCTACTTTCCCCTGTTCTTTCATCCCTCTCTTCCTCCCTCTCCTCCACACCTTCCTCCTTCCCTCATTCTCTGCTCACCCTCTCTTCCCCACATCTTCCTGTTTTCCTCCATTCTCTGCTCCCCTCTCTCTCCCTGCTCCATTTCCTTCCTTCTTCTTCCCTTCCCTTCCCTCTTTCTATCCCTGATCTCCCCAGAGCATCCCATCCCCCTCCAGACCCTCACTCCATTCCCATCCCTGGCCAAGCCCCCAAGCATTCTGGTACCCACTGACACTGCATCTTTAAGAGCCAGCTGAAAGTCAGCTTCCCGGTCATTGGTTGCTTTATTCTAACTAAAAGAGGATGAGATCATCTGCAGCCAATCATGGAGTCGTTGCACCCCCGCTAGAGGCTTACACCTGCCTGGAGAGTCAAGGCGGAGATGCTCTGCTGGGATTCAGGGTCAGGCTGGTTGGAGGGGAAGCAGTAGCAGAGATGACTTCAGCCTGCACGAGCAAAGCTAAGCTCATGATTTGAACAGGTACGGTGCTTGCCCCATGTTTCTTCCTTATGCATGGTGGGGCGGGGTGGGGGGGCGTTCTCCACTTTGACTCAGCCACATACATTCCCAAGCCTCCTGGCCACCTTGCTTTTGCCCTGTGCACCCCTCCTCATCCCACCTCCTGGGAAGTGGGGGGCTTTAGCAGAGGCACTGCCCCCAGGCAGGATTTGGCTAGTTGGGTGGGACCTGTCAGCTTAGTCTCCTCATAGGCCTTACTTATCACCATCTTCCATCCAAATACCGAGTCTGGCTTTTCCACAGGAGCAGAGCAAGGGTGTGCAGGGAGTCTGCAGGTCATTGGATGCTAGCTAGGATGTCAGGTGCATTCATCATTAGGCCTAATTACATGCTACAAACAGGTTTCCCGGGGAGGGCTTTGCCTCTCTTAGTTTGGCAAGGTCTTTACCTATGATCGTCCCCCTTCACCCTTTCCCACAATCACTTGGTCCACTGGGGCTCTGGTGACATCCAGAGCATTGGAACTTGGAAGCCTGCTAAGGGCCCTTGAGCGTATGGTTGAAGCAGCTGATTCAGAGACCCGGAACTGGGGTCCCCAAGCAAGGCTGCATTGCAGCCCAGTGCATCAAAGCCCAGCCAGAGTGTCTTTCCCAGAAAACAGCTAAAGCTGGGTTTAACAGCCAAAAGTAATTGCATTTCCCTCTCAGCCAGGGCTTTGGGATAAAGGATGTGCCCTCCCTTCCTCCAGGCTTTCGGGTCACTAGGGTCCCTCTACCCCCAAGTGCTAAGGGTTCAACTCACAGCTGCCTGGGTCTGTGGGTGATTTCCACTCCCTCACCCTCGCCTGGCTCAGCTCCATCTTGCTCACTTCCTCTTGGCTAGGAAACCAGGGAAAAGCAGAAGTGGCTTAAGGTTTGCTGGTGGCTTCCCAGAATCTGACAAGACTTGGAGTTGGGAGGGACATCAGAGGCTGTGTTAGTAACAATAATGAGGGCTCATGTTATAGGACCCTTGGAGCTTCATGTGGCACTTTTTTCATGGCTTGTGTCATCTGAGTCTTACAACAAGACTGTCACGTTGACATCATTGGTATTCCTTTTTTACAATGGAGGAAACAGAGGCTGAGAAAGGTTATGTGACTTGCCTAGCATCATACATACTGGTTAGTGTCTGAGGTAGAATTCCAACTCAGGTCTCTCCTGAATTCAAACCCAGCATCCCACCCACTGTACCACCTCATGCAACCTGAAATTCCCATCTCTCAACCCCCACCCAGGGCCAGCCTTCTGAAAAAAATTTAAATTCAATTTATTCAACAAATATTTATTGGAAATAGAGTATTTAGTATCATTTAATGAAACCCCCTCAGTTAACAGGTGAGGAGACCAAGGCCCAGAAATGTTAAGATATAAGTGATTATCATGCAGATAATAAGTATTGCAATTTGAGCCCTCCGACCCAAAATTCACTGTGCTTTCCATTATATGCCTCAAGGGATGATTATATTTGGTTTTGGTGGAATTGGTCTAAAGCAGATTCAGTCTTCCATTTTCATTCCTACTGAACCTTCAGGATTTCAGTAGTCCCTATTCTTCCCCTCTATCAAAACCACCAGGAAAGGATGCGATAGTCATTCATAAATTAATATGAATTCAAATCTATTTGCTCTTTCAGAAGCATCCATATTGTGTGTCTTCTTTCTAGCTGTGGAATGAAAGACTGTCTACCATTAAAAGCATCTGAGGAATCACCCACAAGGCAAGGAGGTCTTTCAGGAAGCCTCAGAAATTATACAGTATGGATGGCTGAGCTTTAGGGTTGAACCTTCTTTAAGTGTTGGTCAACACACTGTTCCCATCAGGCTCCAGTTCAACCAGGGATCCTATATCTGGAACTGCGCCTTCCCCAGCAAGCCCAGCCTGACCCCCTTCTTCATCCCAGTCCCCTAAAGCTTCCCCACCACCCCCTTGTATACAAAGGTCACAGCAAGATTATTTTAATGCTTAATAAACCATGGGGAGTATACACTGATCAGGGCCTTTTACGAAAGAACCTTGGTGAATGACAGTTCTGAATTTAAAGAGGAATTGAAATGGGAGGGGGGGGGAAACGGTGAGGAGGGAGAGCCCTTGGCAGGAAGATAGGGGAGGACAGGGCTCCCAGGCCTAGGAGGCTTTAGATGCCTGTCTGTACCCATTCTAGGCTGCAATGGAGGGTAGGAACACTCTGCATGTGGTGGAACCATGAGTCAAGTGTCCCTGAAACCCACCTCAGGCCTGGAAACCGAGTCCTGCTCTCGAGCACTGTCCCAGGCACAAGTATATCTGGAGCAGATTCGGAACCGCATGTCTCCTGAGAGCCCTGATGTTCACGGGACAGGCAAGCGGGATTACCTGGTGGACGCGGCCAAACAGATCCGCCTGGCGCTCGAGCGGGACGTGAGCGAGGACTATGAGGCAGCTTTCAACCACTATAAAAATGGGGTCGACGTGCTACTCAATGGAGTGCAAGGTACTGGGGCTGGGGACTGGGGAGAAGATGGGAGGGGGCACTGGGCAACTTGAGAAGCAGAAGAGGGCTCTCTGAATTTTCTGGTGAGAGGGAAGCAATAGTTTACATGTACTATATTATAAATGTATATGAAAACATTTCATGGTTACAAAGCACTTTCACATAAAAAGAAGGTATTATCTTCTTTTTAAAAAAACCGTTTGTTTACTTTTAAAAATTTAATAAGCATTTATTTTCTTTATCTCCTTTCTCCCTCAAATGAAATAAAAAACAAAATACATTCCTTGTAACAAATATGCACGGTCAAGCAAAATGAACTCCTGCATTGGCCTTCTCCAAAAATGCATGTCTCATTCTGTGTCTCTGGCTCATCACATCTCCTTCTGGAAGTGGGTAGCCTGCTTCTTCATGCTTTCCTGGAATTTCATTGGCCATTGTATCGGTTACAGTTCTTAGTCTTTCAAAGCTGTTTGTCTTTACAAGGATTTTGTTTAAACACACACACACACATGTACATATATGTGTGTACGTATTTATGTTTATACATGTGTATACATGTATACACACATACCATATATATGTATGTACATGTGCGTATAGATATTTAGATGCAGATGTTTCTCTTGGTTCTGCTCATTTCACTCTATATCACTTTATACACACCTTTCCAGGTTTCTCTAAAACCATTCCTTTCACCTTCTCCTATGGCAAAATAACATGCCATTTCATTAATATACAAAAATGTGTTCAGCCATTCCCCAATTGATGGGCACCCCCTCAGTTTCTCTTTCTTTGCCACTACAAAAAGAACTGCCATGGATCCTTTTCTCTCAATCCTACTAGTAGTATTATTAGGTCAAAGAGTATATATACTTTAGTGATTTAGGAGGCATAGTTCCAAGTTGCTTTTCAGAATGGCTATACCAATTCACAGCTCCATCAATAGTACGTTAATGTGCAAGAAGGTATTATTATCTCCTTTTTGTAGATTAGAAAACTGAGGCTTAGAGATGGCCCAATCACTCATCTAGTGAATGGCGGAACCAGGAAAGACTTCAACCGAAGTTTTCTGATTTCTAGTTTCCTTGTTCCACTACAGAATGGTGTTTGAAAGGAATAAGGTTAAGGTGAAAGGTAAACTGAACAAATTCATGTCTGGGAGAAAGCAACCTTCTGACCACTGTCAATGGAAAACTAGTCATGGAGGCAAATTTTTCCTCTTCCCCCTTTGCAAAAGAGTTGTTTCAAAATAAGAGCTTAGAAACATTTTGGGTTAATTTTCTTACCTTATTAGCCCAACACTCCAAACTTTGGGCCTTTATATAGACTGGGTTTAATCCTGGAGTTGGCCTCCCAAGTCATATCTTTCCTGGTTCATTTTGCTCTCACTCTGAATTGCCTCTGGGAAATCTGTGAAAATTGCTTATATAGCTTATATCTAAGTCTTCTTAGACTTGGGTAAAAGAATCCCTAGTCCTGTGCAAGCACTCAGGGTAACAATGCATATATCGAGTACAAGTCACTTCTGCAGACTCATACACACCCTGTAGTTTGCATTCCCCTAGGAAAGGGAATGAAGTTAGGTTTTCCCCCAAAAAATCCCATTGACATTTCATTGAGTCCTGCTTTCACTCCAGTTCCATATAAGTAATCAGCTTTAAGATTTTATCTTGAGGGCTTGTATTTCCCTTGGAAGGGAACTGTACCTAGGCTCCCTAGACAGGTAACCCCTAACACTTGAGTGAATCTATGCAAAGATCCATATAAGTGTCCACCCTTAGGATACTACCCTAAAGATTCAATGTCCTCCAAAGAAGGAAAACAAACTTGGTTTTACTACAGAAGATAAGTCACTTACCCAGGTCACTTATCTAGTGAATGGCAGAACCAGGAAAGACTTCAACATGAGTTTTCTGACTCCTAGTTTCCTCATTCCACTACAGAATGATGTTTGAAGGCAATGAGTTTCCCTTCCCATTAGACCTTTATTGTCAAATAACTCATGATAGTAAGGGAAGGGAAAATCTAGATTTTTTTTTGGTTCCTTACATTGGTTTTAGTCCTTTACTATTTGTCCAGCTATGGGAACGGTGTCCACCTGCTCAATCTTCTTCCCTCAAAGAGACAAGCACTGTCCAAATACTCCACTGCCCTTCTTCCTCTAAAAATCTCAGTCCTAGAGCTCTTGTACTTAGGATTATTAGAGAGATATCCCAAGGCTGCCCAAGAACTCTGCTTTTTCTAGAAGGGAGAGGCTCAGGAACCTCTCTGTGTTTTGGCTGTCTGGTTCTTTCCTGGGGCCACATCATTCCAAACATGTATAACTGCCATGTTTCCTCATTAGGGCTTCATCCAGGTACTCAGAATCTAAGGTCTCCAGGCTTAGGAACTCTTATGGTCTCCTAGTACCCAGGCTAATGCTCTCTTTGGAGTTGAGCTAGAAATGACTTCTTGGTTCTTTGGGTGTGTGTGTGGGGGGGGTAAGGGATAAGGATTAGGCAGAAGTATGTTGGTAAATATTTAACAATTGGCTCTCCCCCCCCAAAAAAAAGTATGGATGATGTATTTTAAAGTTTAATTTGCATTATTAACATTTTCTCCACTACTTTCTTAAGTCTAGACAATCATCAAAACCTATATCAAACCCTGATTTGTTGCATTTCACTGATTTCCAAGGTGTAAATGCTCACACATTTAACAATCTGCTCTAGTGAAAGCCAGTTCAAGCTGACTCCAGCACATCCCTATTGTGAAGCCAACATCTAGGTGCCCCAAAGGGACCACTCTCAGAACCTGGTCTCAGAAAAAGGATCAATTCTGTCATTAAGACTTCTTGTTAGGGGCAGCTAGGTGGCTCAATGGATAGAGCACCGGCCCTGAAGTCAGGAGGACCTGAGTTCAAATCTGGTCTCAGACCAAAAACTTGACACTTACTAGCTGTGTGACCCTGGGCAAGTCACTTAACTCCAACTGCCTAAAACAATAAAAAAGACTTCTTCTTATAGGCCAAGAGCAGAGGGGTTACTGTTCACTAAATCATCCCCTACAGATGAAATATAATCAAAATCCCAAACAAAAGTTCACTTCTCTGTAAGCTCAAAAAGTTAATCGGGGACTCCACTAATCAGTCCCTACTCTGGAGGCTCCCCAAAACAAACACATACATTTCTGTACTCCTCTCTACTCTCCAATCCGTTGCTGTGCTGTATTTTTTTTCTTTTCTTGCCAATGGGTGTCCCTAACCCTTCCCAGCTCTTCTGATGAAGAGGGGTTCCGACAGCAGGTGAGGTGGAGAGCTCTGAGGTCAACCATCAGAAGCCAACACGTAGAATACAACTTCTCCCCATCTGCAGTATGAATCTTCCAGACCTTAGATGTGAAACATAGACAGTAGAAACAACACTGGGGGCTAAGACATCTTAGACTATCCCACACTGGCTTCCCCATCCTCCCCAGCTCACGCGTGCTTCAGAGGTCAGGCCTGGTAGGGGATTCCATCCTTTGAGGGTTGAGAGCCCAGGGGGTGATCCATATCTTTCCATCAGTTGATCCCAACAAAGAGCGGCGGGAGGCGGTGAAGAGGAAGATCACCAAGTACCTGAGGCGGGCAGAAGAGATCTTTAACTGCCACCTGCAGAGGACGCTGGGGAACGGGACCAGCCCTGGCACGGTAAGGAGCTGTCTCTGGGATTCCTTAAAGCAATGACCTCATATCACATGTGGGAAGAAATGGCAGTGATCGCTAACATAGAGCGCTTTGGGGTTTACAAAGTGTTTACATGTATTATCTTATCTGACAACCCTATGAGATATGTGCTAGTGTTATTCTCACTTTACAGATGAGGAAACTGAGGTGTGGAGAGGTTAAGTGACTTACCTTCGCATAGCTACTAAGCATTACAGGCAAGATTAGAACTCAGCTCTTCCAGACTCTAAATCCAGCTCTCTATCCAGTATGCCACCCATCTATCTAATTATTCTAATATAACTTTACATATTCTCCCGATATAACCCATGTGTCAGAGTTATGACATTAAAGCCACCTGTCCACTTTTGGGGAGTTTTCTTACTTCTCTTGGCTCAAAGCTCACATCCAGAACCCAGGAAAATGTATGTATGGTGACTCCCAATAAACAAAAACAGAATTCTCACAGTAGCTTAGAAGAATATTTTACTAAAAAGAGAAGAAAATAAATAAAACCAGAGAACCTCAAATAGGCAAGCTACCACTGTGGTACAGCAGATAGAGTTCTGGCCCTGGAGTCAGGAGGACCTGAGTTCAAATCTAGTCTCAGACACTTCCTAGCTGTATGAGCTGGGGAAGTCTCTTAACCCTGTTTTGCCTCAGTTTCCTCATCTGTAAAATGAACTGGAGAAGGAAATGGCTAACGAGTCCAGGATCTCTGCCAAGGGGTCACGAAGAGTCAGAAAGAACAGAAAAGAACTGAACAATACCATTAATCCTGAAGATACGTGTAAATTCCCCAGAGGCAGTTGTCGATCTAAACACAAGGGCTCTTTTGATGGAGTTTGAATCCTATCTCTGTCACATGTTGGACCTCGGAAGTCACTTAGCCACTCTGGGCTTGTTTCCTCATTTGTAAAATGTAGAAGTTGAATCAGGGGACCTCTAAGGTCCCAATCTATGCTCCCAAAGCCCTATCTTTGCCCACTGTTCTCTGCTAGTTGGAAGAGTGAAGGTTGAGGTAACTTTTGTTCTCCCCCTCCAGCTTTCTTCTCTTCTTCATGATGCTTCCCCAGTGAATTCTTTAGGACCTGGAGGGAACCTCAAAAATTATCTAATCCAGCCCCCTATGTATACACGTCAGAAAAACCACGGCTCCATACTCCATAGGTTGTTCAGGCAAAGGGAAAACAAACCTCAGCTGTTAGCCAACATTTTGGCATCATTTCCCCTGGTGAAAAGACTCCAGAGGCATCTTCCTTCCTTGGGATCCCCACAGTTTTACTATTGTCTGGTTGTTTTTTCTTCAGTCTCCAGTTCAACTCATCTCATACATTCCCTGTGGAGTATACCATTCATTCTCTACAGTGTCTCACTGGGACACCATAGGAAAAGAGACACAGCTGAACCATCGACAGACCCAGAAACTAAGGGCCTGGCCAGCTTTAAGGAAAAAAAAAAGGAGCCTGCAGTTAGTAGATGGGCAAGAAGGTTTTGTAGGTCAAGACCCCTCCTCCCCTCTCCATTCCAGCAAAATGAAGGGCTCGGAGACTTGAGAGAGACAGAAATATGGACATGAAGACAGACACACAGCCTCTGCCCCGCTGGCTTCCTTTAGGTCTCAGCTAAAACCCTGCCTTGCCTGCAAGAAGCCTTGCCAGATTCTTCTTAATCTGGTGCTTCCCTCGGAAACTACCCTGTACATTGCTCGTGGGTATGCACAGCTGTTTGCACGTTGTCCCTCCCATTAGACTGCAAGCTTCTTGAGGACAGGGCCTATTTTTGCCTTTCTTTGTATCCCCGATGCTTAGCACAGCGCCAAATGATGAATAAGTGCCTGTGGAGTGGCTGGCTGACTCTCTTCCAGGGGGAAGTGCACTGCATACATCGGTATCCCAGCTTGGAAGCTTTCAGCTCAGTAGCATGGGCAACTTCCCACGATGCCTGGTCCCTAAGCATCGTCTCAGAGACGGCAGACTCTAGGGAAGGGGCCTTTAAAGAAGGGGCTTTTGTAGGTATCCTGTATGGAGGGCAGTAGAAGGAGGGGATAGAGTTAGGGGCACCTCTCCGCGGTCATACAAGGCGGCTGTCTCTAATGTCTTTTAAAAATCTGTGGCTCTCAAGCTAAAAGGGACCTCAAAAGCCATCTGCTCCATTTTCCTCATTTTATAGTTGATAAAACTGAGGCCTAGAGAAGCTCAATTACTTGCCCAAGGTCACATGTAGTGAGCATCGGAGGTAGGATTTGAACCTAGGTCCATCTGATTCCAGAGCCTGTGTTCTTTCCATTGTACCACTCATCCTCCAGGACCAACCCGCCAGGCCACCAAATAAATGCCCTATTCTTTCATCTGTTACATATTTATTGAATTCCTACTATGCGTAAGGCACTGTAACAGCCTCCAGAGTAGGTAGTACAGGTGGGGAGTCATGCTTCAATGGCAGTCCCTGAAGTCTCTAAAACTGCTCTGCTTCCAACTTCAATTCAATTAAAGCACTTATTAAGGGCCTACTACATACAAGGCACTCTGCTGGACACTGGGTATACAAAGAACTTATCATGTCTTCCTGGGAGGATAGCACAGACACACAGAAGTAAATACAAAGGAATTTGGAAGTGGGTGAGTAGAAAGCTCTGACAAATGGGGAGACTGGGCAGGTCCTCATGCAGGAGGTGGAATCTTAGTTCATCCTCGAAGGGAAGAAAGGATTCCAAAAAGCAGAAGTGAGGACAGAGGGCATTCCAGACATGAGCGGCAGCTTGCACAAAGGCCCTGAGGTGGGAGATGGAGGTTACAAACAGGAAACAGCAGGAAGGCCAACCTGACTGGAATGTACAATTTGTGGGGGGGAGTGACAGAGTCAATCTGGAAAGATGGACTGGAGCCAGATTGTGGAGGGCTCTACATGCCAAACAGACGAATTTGTATTTTGTGCTAGAGGCAATAGGGAGCCACCAAAGCTTCTTGAGCAGAGGAGCAACCTAGTCAGACCTATGCTTGAGATCCTCACATGGTGGAGAAGGATAGCCATGCAGAGTTAAGGTCACAGAAACTTCTAGTCTAGGGAAGCTTCCTGAGGACACAGAAGTGAGGCCCTAGCCCTATCACTCAGGCTCACAGCCTCATATCTCCCCCACCTCTCATTTCCCCACCTAGGGCTTCAGCAGCCTGAGGCTTCGGCCCATCCGTACCCTGAGCTCCGCAGTGGAGAACCTGAGGTGCTGTAAGGTAGTGGGGGGTCATTGAAAAGGTAAGTGGGTTGTTCCTCTTTTGAGAAACTGCTTCTTGAAGGTGGGGGAGGGGGCCATTGGGAGGAAGGCAGCTCTTTGGTTAAAAGCAGTTTCTCATCCCCAGGAGGAGACCAGAGCAAAGTCACCCTAAGGAGAGAGACTCGATGGAGGCCAGACTCCCCTCCAGGCCTTCTGGGGCTCCTATCCCAAAGAGACACTCTTCTTTAGACTCCCTCCCATACACTTCAAAGAAGGAAGAATACTAGAGTAGCCAACAGACGATAGCCACTCCATAGCCCTTCATTTCAGACAGAGCAACACACTCCCACCGAGAAGTCAAGCAGAAACTAGAGTAGATGCTGTTTGTGCCTAGGAAATCCTGCCAATTTTCACTTCAGTAATCTGCAGGCTGGCTTCCTCCCACTCCCCACAGCCAGCCGTCACCTCCCCCAGGGGCTTGGCCAAGGTTTCCTAGCCAAGAAGAAGGCAGGAGGCTTTATAGCCTTGGATGCCCTCCCCTCCAGAGAGCATGGAGCCACTTCCCCACTATGGAGCTTGTGGATTATCCAGGCCCTTCTCTCCTTCTCCTCTCCCACTGCCCACCTTTTGACCATTTTCTCTCCAGGGACTGGGCAGGGAGAGAACAGGAGATGAAATTCCAAACACTCCCTTTGGCTACTTGTTAGAATTGGCTGGGGAGGAGGAGGAGGAACGGGACAAAACTCTCAGTTCGAAGGAGATTTTTGGATCATCCATAAGTTAAATTCCTCCATGTTTTTTCCGGTACCCTGATACCATGGATAATAGAGACTTAGTTATCCTATCAAGAGTCCAAAGTACAGTGTAGGCCGCCAAGCAGAGGAACACAGCGTACTATCCTTTACATACAAGCATTGGAACACAGCGTACTATCCTTTACATACAAAGATGATGTCCTAGGGAAAACAAGTAGGTATGGTGTAAAGAAGACTGGATGGTGGAGAGGAGGGAAAGGGAGTCAGGAAACCTGGGTTATAACCCGGGATCTGCTATGAACAAGCTTTGTGACCTTGGAGAAATCATCTCACTCCTCTGGGTCTTAGTGTTAGGGGACGATAGGCTGGACATGAGTCAGCAGTATAGAGTGGTAGCCAAAAAGATCTAGTGTGAACTTGGGCTTCATTGAGAGGATTCCAAGGACTGGGAGGTGATGGTCCCATTGTACTCTGCCCTAGACATAGCACACATAGGATACTGTGGGTTGTTCTGGGCACCATAGTTGATGGTGATATTGATATTACTTATTTGTTGATATTGATAAAGCTGGAGAACATTCAGAGGAAGACAACCAGGATGGTGAAAGGCCTTGAGTTCATGCCAAATGAGGGTTGGTTAAAGCAACGGGGCTTGTTTCGACTAGAAAAGAGAAGATTCAGGGAACACGATAGCTATGTTTAAGTATTTGAAGGACTGTCATGAGAAAGAGGGATTAGGTTTGTTCTGTTTGGCCCCCACAGGGCAGAACCAAGAAGAATAAGTATAAATGGAGGACAGAATTGGGCTTGACTTCAGAAAGAACTTCCTAGCAATTAGAGCTGTCTTAGTGCGAAATAAATTGCCTCCAGAGGTGGTGGGCTCCTCCTCCTTGAAAATCTCCAGGCAAAACCTGGAAGACTGCCTATGAAACATGTTCCAGTGGGGATGCCTTTCAGGTTGGATTATATGGCTGCTGAGACCATTTTTACCTCTAAAACCTATGATTCTGTGACTCAGT